GGTGTGAGCCAAGGGAAGTCCACACTGTGTCCTGTAGTTACCAGAAGAAGAGGAGAACAGAGTTTCTGAACTGCTTCTGCGTGTGCTATGATAAGATTTTTAAGGCAGAACAAAAACCCCAAAACCACGTTGGAAGTCCTGTTCTGTGTAACACTTGACCGCAGCCTACAGGTATTCAATGGGGAGTAACTATGGTGACAGAGCCAAACTTTTCTGGGTAACAGTAAATAGTATAATCAGGGCCACAAACAGCAGTTTGAGGTTATTTGGACTGAACGTTTGGAAAAAGCTTTTTACCTCTGAGGTTTTGAAGCTTTGCCTGCACAACAGCATGGCTGATGGGATTTGATGTGGAAGACAGTCCCGCTCCAAGGACTTGTTAAGGTATCCAAATCAGGTTGGCTTGAATAGGATTTAAGTGCCCAATTATTCTTGAGAACCTGGGTTGAAGCTGCAGCAAATTATGCAACAGAAACCAAATGGGTAGAGGGGTGAATGAAATAGGTACCTATAAACAAAGCAGTGCCTTAGATAGCAAGAACTTGCAAAGGCACATGAAAATTTTAGGATAAACGTACAAAAGCAGATATATGCAGTTTGTGCTTAAAGGAAGTGCCTGACCAAGAGGACCTCACCTGCCATTAAGACATATTTCATGGAAAGGGGAAAAGGTAGATGCCAAAAGTTTGCAAGTTTACAAAAGCCAAACAAGGTATAGGACTGGTAGCTGAACAAGAACAATTTCTGTCTGGAGAAAAGAGACTGTTTCAGACCCCAGCCAAGCACACCTGATGGGAGAGAGCTCTGAACAATTTCTTCATGCTGGAAGAGTTGGCTTGGAGCAGGTAAGAGTAATTGGAAATGTGGTCCATGAAATGTCTACCTTTGCTAAAAGTACTTGGATGTGATAAGCACATTCCAAGGCTAATACTAAGTATGTCCTAAAAAGTTTATTTTAATAAGGAGTTTCTCCATGTGGCATGTTAAGAGAAGTGATTCTCATAAGCCATTCTCTGGGTAGCATGAAGGACTGTAACGTGTAAGGAAATTACATTGAAGAAGAGCCTATAAGGCTTATAAGGAATTTATAGCAGTCTTCCAGTACCTGAAGGGGCTACAGGAATGCTGGGGGGGACGTTTTGCAAGGGCTTGTAGTGACAGGACAAGGGGTAACAGGTTTAAATTGAAAGAGGAGAGATTTAGATTATAGGTAAGGAAGAAATTCTTCCCAGAGAGGGTGGTGAGGCACTGGAACAGGTTGCCCAGAGAAGCTGTGGATGCCCCATCCCTGGAAGAGTTCAAGGCCAGGCTGGATGAGGCTTGGAGCAACCTGGTCTAGTGGAAGGTGTCCCTGCCCATGGCAGGGGGGGTTGGAACTAGATGATCTTTAAGGTCCCTTCCAACCCAAACCAGTCTATGGTTCTATGAAGGAGTTTCAGGCATCAACACTGTCCCATTCTACATTCTGTTCAAGCAAAACTTTCTCTCTAGCAGACAGTGAGGTGATATTAAAAGACCAGCAACTAAAGGGTGGCGGACAGAAGGTATTCTTATGTGCCAAAGAGTTAGCTGCAGTACCTATGTGTGTATTTTCACATTTCAGTGGTAAGAGGGAAAAGATCTGATGGTAACAAGGCACTGCAGCATGACATATGCCCTAAGGTGGCAGTATACACTCAGGTAGACAGCCCAGAGTTGCCAACACACTGTTACCTTATGTTAACATATAACAGGCCCTCAAATCTCGTATCTGATATATAGTCACTTCCATGTAGTCTTTAAGTTCTGCTAACATTTCAGCCAAACATGTATTATCTGTGTAACACTAATATAAATTGCTATAAACCAACATTAAAGATGTAAAAAAATCCCAACCCAAACCTTTAAGGCTAACGGCACATTCATAAGAGTTTAAAAGTTGTGTCACTGGATTTTGAGAAACACGCAAACACCCTTTCACCTGTATATGGGTCCAGAGACTGAAGTCCACAAGTTCAGGCCATTCCAAAGGCAAGGGCAAAAAGAGATCTCTATTAGGAGAAAGTAAAACTAAAGTACAGAGTTGAGTGCCAAGGCCGTATGCTGGAAACAGTACAGTGAGTATCCCCAGTTAGGAGAATCCATTATTACCTCTTTCGTAAGTCTAAAAATCCTGGCAGTCAGAATATACTTCTTATAAACCACCCAAATCCTTTTAAAATTCAGAGGTTTTGTCTACAAAAAAATAATCCGCAGGTGTTGAGAGGCAGATTTTTTTTTGGTACCTGGTGTGAAAAAGTACTCCCTTTTGTTTGCTTTAAGCTTGCTGCCTGCTGCTCATTTCAGAGTTATTCATAGGTCAAGTATTGGGAGAAACTGCTTATCAGTTCCCCTTTCACCTTCACTACACTTCTCAGGATTTTATAGACCTCTGTCACAGTCCTTTTCATAGGTTTAGCTATAGGGTTTATTCCACCCCTGGTTTTCTAGTCAGAGTGCTACATTTGAATCCTTTAAAAAATGCTTCATTTTTACTGGGTGAGATTCAGCTTTTTCTGAAAAATAAGCCCTAATTCATGGTTTTCCAAAGTCAATATCCGAAAAAATTACTTAACAGGATTAGTTCTTTCTAAAAATCGAAGTTATGTTGTTACTATACAAACTGCAACTTTCTAAAAATAGAAGCTATGATGTTACTATACAAGCTGCAAAATAGATTTGAATAGACATTAAAAAAATCTGAAATAAATCCAACATTCATTTTATAAGAATAAAGTAACCTAACTTATACTTTATTTTTATTTTTCCAGTTTATACTTTAAACAAAGAGCATCGCTGGCCTGGGATATGCAAAAAGAATGCCACAAGCTGGAGAAATGGGCCAACAGGAGTATCATGAAAGCAAAAGCAAAGTTCTGCCACTGGAATGGGATAACCACATCCCAGGTTAAGCTGGGGACCATGATGTACAAAATGGGGCTGAGAAAGAAGAGCTATCTCAGGATTCAGAAGAGAAGGCTTACAGGAGACCTTACTGCTGTCTTTACATTAACGGGAGGTCATAAAGAAGACAAAGATATACTCTTCCGAGAGATTACAGTAACAGGACAAGAGGCAACAGACACAAGCTGCAATGTGGACAATTCAAATTGGATATAATAAAGTGTTTTCACTATACAAGGATCATAGAAGTTATTCAAAAGTCGACCAGACATGGAATGGAACAACCTGAACTAATTAGACCTGCTTTGACCAGGAGGTTGGCTGAGAGGCCTGCAAACGACCCTCCAACCTAAGAATTTTATGAATCTATGACAATTCAAAACCTAGAGAATCTTTCTTTAAAGAAAAAAACACAGGGATGTAGGGGAAATCAGCAATGACATGGTGAACCACAGGATTAGCGCAGGTATCCTCAAATAAAAGTCTGCCTTGCACCACATCAATAATCCTGAGCAAAGAGGCCCTGAGCAACCTGCTCTAATGTCAAAGTTGGCTTTGAGCAGAGGCACATGACCAATGGGGCATTTTCAGAACTAAATTCATTTACAAAACTTTATCCTTTTTTAAACTGTGAGATTCCTATGCCTTCACTGGAAGGAGTACTGGCACTTCTTGGCAAAGGAAAGGCAGTTTGAAATCCTTTTACCCACAGAAAGAGACCTTTCTAACAAAACCTGCGTTACAACTTTTCAGAGTGTAAAATCCCCAAGACTGATAAGAAAAACCAAAGTACCACCCACCTGAGTTAGCTTCTTGTGAGCACAGTTTACTCCACTAACCATGACCATGTTGGGCATCAAAACTCTCGTCAGTTCTTGTTGACAAGAAGTTAAGAGTGACACAGACATGATGATGCTTCCACTGAGGAGCGTTACCGGCCTCGGCTACGCAAAACCTGTCCTCAGCCAAATAGTGCACAGATTTTCAGTCATTCCTCTATCAAATCTGATAGAATTCATGAGAGACACTGCTGACCTCTGACTATATCCATCTGCAAATCAAGCACTCTGGTGATTGATGGCACCTTCCAAACTAATGTCTTGTTTGAGTCTACCATAGTCCAAACCACAGGACTATGTGGTTTTTTTCTTCTTAAAAGAAAAAAAAAAACCAAAGGCTGAGGAATGTGAGGAAATTCTGCAGGGATTGATCCATACAGCAGAACAGAAGATTGATAAAGGACTTCTGAAATTAATCTCTCCCTTGCAGAAGATGTTAACAAAAAGGCTGTGAGCAACCTGCTATAATAGCAAACTTCCCTGCGTTTGTGCAGAGTTTGGCCACAGGCCCTCCTGGTATGAACTATTTTATGTCAAATAGGAAGGACTTTGTGTGCTGTCAAGCCTTCCCCAGAATGGACACTATCAAATACACCTTAACCAGTGGCCTGAAATTGCACATTCAGATCTCCCTGCATCCTGAGATGTTACTGATGCTTTGATCACCGGTACCTGATGCTATTCTCATGAGAATAAGTTGTTTTCTGGCAGAAAATCAAGTTTTTCATGTCCCTTCAGGTTAAGTAGCTCCACTGCCTGACCTGTGATGGAAGGCCAGGGACTTCTACCTACTGGGTTTTGTAACAAACTGTTCCATGCGGGTGGAATGCCAGGAAAAAAGGAGTCCTGGCGCAACTGGGACCCAAGGCTGAGAGAAAAAATACTGCTCATCCATACCAGTGAGAAACAAGAATCTTGTGCCATAAAGCAGTAGAAACACTGATTTTTCTGCAAGGTACTTGGCAGTGAAAGGCTCTAAGTTCTAAAGACGACATTTGCTGAAGCTCAGACATTCATCTGCTCAGGCAGGGCAAAATGCACTGTAGAACTAATGAGTATGCCACAGCTGAGACCTAGCAGGTTCTGTCAAGGTGCTGTAAATCCGATAGTGCAATTACATGCCAGCACAGACCTTGCAGCTTAGATCCCAGAAACTAGCTTTATGACTTTGGGCAATTCACATGAAGCAGAAACACAGTACGAGAAGCAGCGTCCACAAGATCAGCGAGAGGAGAAGGTTCACGAAGCAAATGTTGCCACGGACTCCTGCTGCTGCAGCAAGTCGAGAGAACAATCTTCTGTAGGAAACTGGTTGTTCTCCTACCAGCAGACAGTGAGAGAAGACCCACAAGCCCAGAATCATCCTCTAAGTAAAGACAAATGTGATAGAGCAAACTCAGAGTTTCACAGGTTACTATAAACAGTGCTTTCATGGATATCCAAATATCTTAATCCCTTCCCACACCTGTTCTTTCAGCTAGGTCTAGCAAAGAAGTTGAATTCATCAGTCGGTGGCAGGAGGTAACTGGGGGAGGTTTCTGAGCAAAGTGATCATATTCAGATCCTCTGCAAACCTGTGTGGGCTTCAGTAGAGCTACGCCCATTCAACACACCATTCTGATTTTTATACTGTGCTACTCAAGATATCTTCACTGGAAGGAGTACTGGCACCCCTCAGCAAAGGAAAAGCAGTTTGAAATCCTTTTACCCACAGAAAGAGACCTTTCTAACAAAACCTGTGTTACAACTTTTCAGAGTGTAAAAGCCCGCAAGACCGACAAAAAAATTCAGAGTACCACCCACCTGAGTTAGCTTCTTGTGAGCACAGTTTACTCCACTAACCATGACCATGTTGGGCATCAGTGGTCTGGGATAGTGTAAAACAAAGTCTAGCTTTATGAGCCAAATGGAAGCCTGGCGTAAGAGATCCAGCACAGTCACATCCCGCTGAAGGAACTCAGAAGCCAGTTTTGCATATGGTTGGAAGACAAAATCACAGAGAAAATAATTTGGAATGTCAAAGATCAGATTCTTCACCCGCTGGAGAAAGTTCATGTGGTCTGTAAGGTCTGTAAATACCCTGGGGACATAAGAAGGAGGATTGGGACATTGAGTGGCTTCAAAATCTAAGCCACATGGTATTTGCTGCAAAAAAAGCACGGAAGGGACTGAGAGATGCTGAGCCACTATCTGCCCGCAGGGTAGTATTGGATCTGTAAAGACAGCATCAAACTTGCTCTCCTCAAGATATCTGACAAGCTCTTTGTTGTACAGTAAATGTGTACAGGTAGACAGGAACATGGCAGAGGTTTTTTTCACTCCTTCGTATGTTTTAAGAAATCTTGCCAGAAAAGATCCTTCTTCAAATACATCCTGGCTAGTTCTCCAGAAAGTGCGATCCAGCTCTTCCTGTGTGAAAGGGACTGGGTACATTTTCATAACAAAACTCTTCGCTGGCTTTATGTACCAACTGATTTCAGGTGCAACGACGACTATTTCATGGCCCTTCTGCCTGAGACCGTCCAACACTTCCCGCATGCTGAGCCAATGACTCCCATCCACTGGCACCACCAGCAGCTTCCCACCAGCTGCCAAACCGAGCACGGACAGGAGCAGAACCAGCACTGCCGTGACTTGCGGATGAGCCCTAAGCACCGGAGCCATTTCTGCAGAAATGTGGTGAGTGCTGCCCAGAAAGAAAACCACTGGCAAGACTGAAGCAAGAGCACCAGCTCCCGGCTTTTAAGCAATCTGTGCTACAACATAACTTTTGATCCTTGGAGGTGTGTGCTGTGTGGTAAATATATAATCATTCATTTGATAAAAGGTTGGATAACAAGCACTGTGCTCAGCAATCTAAGTGTGTGGTTGGTAAATGTGGTGGATGCACCAGATGAGACCCATCTATTTCTATTAGAAAAGCTTTGGCAGATGTGTTGCCTTTGAGCAGGATCTGACATGACAGCATAGGCCCTTCAGGCTCATTGAGGTTGATTTTGTTCTCAGATCTCACATAGCCATCTCCAAGGCGAAATCTTCTAAGGCCTCTCTAAAGGCGAGAGAGGTGCTTCTTAGCCTGACAGTCCACCACCTGCGGCATCCCTGCTGATTGCAGCTTTGGAAATACCCATGTTAAGGAGCAGACATATTCATTGGCAAAGAAAGAAGTGGTAAGGCTGCACAGGTACCCCAAGACAGAAGCCTTATGTACATTTCTGCATAAATACCAGACACTACTGAAACAATTTGTGAATTTGTATGGATTATACGTAAATGCAATGCTATGACAGCCCCTCAGATCTGCATGCTGCTCTTCCATCACTCACTAAGGGAGAAAGAGAGCACTGAGTTACTTAAAATTGCACAGGAAGGCTTAAATAAGTATGATGAAAAAGGCATCAAGTGACCATCATACTTCATTAGAAGGCATAGCTGCCTACACAGAAAATGGAAAGTGAGGAAGAAATCGAGAGAAAAATTATTTCTTCCACAAATACTTGCCTAACTCATCCCAAACAGGAACTAGATTCCCATCTGCAACAAAAAATCCCACCCTTGTGAACACAGAAGTCTGTCAGAGCATGAATTAAAAACAGAGCATGACCCACCTGAGTTAGCTTCTTGTGAGCACAGTTTACTCCTCCAATTACAATGATGTTGGGCATCAAAGGTTTTGGATAATCTAACACAAAATCTAATCTCATAAGCCAAATGGAAGCCTGGCGTAAGAGATCCAGCACAGTCACATCCCGCTGAAGGAACTCAGAAGCCAGTTTTGCATATGGTTGGAAGACAAAATCACAGAGAAAATAATTTGGAATGTCAAAGATCAGATTCTTCACCCTCTGGAGAAAGTTCATGCGGTCTGTATTCTGTGTAAACAACCTGGGGACATAAGAAGGAGGATTGGGACATTGAGTGGCTTCAAAATCTAAACCACATGGTATTCCTCGTAAAAAAAACACGGAAGGGACAGAGAGATGCTCAGCCAGTATCTGCCCGCACGGTAGCACAGGATCTGTAAAGACAGCGTCAAACGTGCTCTCCTCAAGATATCTGACAAGCTCTTTGTTGTACAGTAAGTGTGCACAGCTGGAGATTGCCAAGTCTGAGACGCGTTTCATACGTTGGTATACTTTAAGAAATCTTTCCAGAAAAGTTCCTCCTTCAAGCACCTCTTGTAAAAATGCCTTGAAATTTCCATCCATCTCTTCCTGTGTGAAAGGGACTGGGTACATTTTCATAACAAAACTCTTCGCTGGCTTTATGTACAAACTGATTTCAGGTGCAACGACAACTATTTCATGGCCCTTCTGCCTGAGACCGTCCAACACTTCCCGCATGCTGAGCCAATGACTCCCATCCACCGGCACCACCAGCAGCTTCCCACCAGCCGCCAAACCGAGAACGGACAGCAGAACCAGCGCTGCCGTGACTTGCGGATGAGCCCTAAGCACCGGAGCCATTTCTGCAGAAATGTGGTGAGTGCTGCCCAGAAAGAAAACCATTGGCAAGACTGAAGCAAGAGCACCAGCTCTGGGCTTTTAAGCAGTATGCGTTACAACATAACTTTTGATCCTTGGAGGTGTGTGCTGTGTGGTAAATGTATAATCATTTATTTGATAAAAGGCTGCATAATAAGCATTTAATTCCAGTCAACCCCACAGGCTGGTGGTGTGTGGTGGGTGCACCAGGTAACCCCACCTGTTTCTACTAGGAGAACAGTAAAGAGTGTCCCAGGAAGGAGGCAGCGGTGGTTCCGGGTGGGACTACACTTCTGAGAGCTTCCCTATGGCCCATCCTCTTTCAAATGCAGGAGATGTGTCACATCCACATCACTATTCAACCTAGCAGGGGCTGCTCCTTTCCCCTGGGCAAAATCTCCTCCCCACCCCCCCTCCTTTAAAGGCTCATCTCTAGGAGGCTTATGGCCCCATGGAAGATGTGGAAGAGCTGTTTAAGATGGTTTCTGGGGTGAGAAGTCTGAAGAAGACACAAGCTTCCATGTTTGTCTGCAAGACATCACCCCACACTGAGTGGTACTTCCAGTGCCTGAGACCTGCCTCAGGATATGGAGGGGTTGGCTTTCTGAGCTTGCAGGGCAGACCAGAGATGTAGGAACACTCTTGGAGGGGAACATTACACAAAATAATTCAGGCCCTAATTCTGGCTTCTTTTTTATTACTGACAAATCCTGCATGATGTCCAGCAGCAGTGGAGTTGCATGAAGGCTCTGGTGGCAAATTACAGTGTGCATGAGGATGCCTGTCAGATGCCACAGCTCCCTCTGGCACTTGGAGATAGGTGGAATTGCCACACAGGCTTGGCAACCTCACCCTGTGGCACACAAGTCCTAAATACTATGACTGAAGAGAAAGCCAGAGCATCAAAAAGAATAGCACAAGTCTCCAGGCCCTCCCACTGAGGTGATGAGGAGGCTCTCTAACTTCATGCCCCAAACGGAAGCCTGGCATAAGACATTCAGCACAGTTACATCCCACTGAAGGAACGCAGAAGCCAGTTCTGCATATGGTTGGAAGACAAAATCACAGAGAAAATAATTTGGAATGTCAAGTATTATTTTTTTCACCCACTGGTAAGAGTTCCCGTGATCTGTGAGGTCTGTAAATACCCTGGGGGTATAAGAAAGGGGATTGGGACACTGACTGGCTTCAAAATCTAAACCACATGGTATTTGCTGCAAAATAAAATGTGGAAGGGACTGAAAGATGCTAGTGTCTACACACACGGTCGTATTGGATCTGCAAAGACAGCATCAGGCTTACTCTCCTCAAGCTATCCAACAAGCTCTTTGTTGTACAGTAAATGTGTACAGGTAGACAGGAACATGGCAGAGGATTTTTTCACTCCTTCGTATGTTTTAAGAAATCTTGCCAGAAAAGATTCTTCTTACGTACAGAGCAGGAAAAGTATGGATACTTCCATCCACCTCTCCCTTTGTGAAAGGTATTGGATACATTTTCATAACAAAATCTTCTGGTTACTTTACATGTATTTTTATTTCAGGTGCAACAATTTCATGGCCCTGAGACCGTCCAACACTTCCCGCATGCTGAGCCAATGACTCCCATCCACCGGCACCACCAGCAGCTTCCCACCAGCACGGACAGGAGCAGAACCAGCGCTGCCGTGACTTGCGGATGAGCCCTAAGCACCGGAGTCATTTCTGCAGAAATGTGGTGAGTGCTGCCCAGAAAGACGATCCCCAGCTCCATGCTTTTAAACAATCTGTGGTGTGGTTCACCAGGTGACCTTTAGTCTTATTTGATGAGTGGTAAATTTAAAATCACAGGTATGGCAAAGATGGAATAAAAGGTGTTAAAGTTCAGCCAATTTGGCAGACAGTAATCAGAGCAGCAGCCAAACTGCAAAACACCCACTTCTTTGTATTGGAGGAACATGGGGATTTAAGGAAATGAGGCATACTTCAACAAGTGGTCTGCTCAAAAGTGCCAATTAACAGATCATTAATTTTCAAAATAAGAATTTTCAGTATAAGACGATTTCTCCCCTTCTGCCAGTCCAAATAATTTTCTATTTGTAAAAGATTAGAAAAACATTAATGATTCACATGGCAAAGGATCAGCTTTATTTATCAATTTTATATCATGACAGTGTAATGGAAATGGAAAATTGGCTATTGAAGTTCATTTCCCTGAAAGGCCTCTTTTTGGAAGGATGAAGTAAGGTCTGGATAGTGGAAGAACAAGGGCATGAGTTTTGCCAGATATATTTAAAACTGGATTAGCGACTCAGAAATACAGTTCAGGATGAGTCTGGGAAGAGGATGCCCCAAGACCCTGAAAGCAAGCAATGCTACCGCATAGACAGGATTTGAACAATCAGCCCTAACTAAGAAAATTATTGCAGAGAAGTAATTTTGTGACCTTACAGTAATTTACAATGGAGGTTGATAGAATGCACCAGTACTGTTTTTTAAGGACATTTACCGAACTACTGCATCTCTAGGTACCTCTTTTGTAGGGAAGCTTTTCAGAAGGCAGCGTAAGCTGTTGCAGATGGCTCGGTGCTGGCTAGCAGCTAAGATAACCTCCAGCAGTTTTACAGAATATTGCGTAAGGAATCATGCGGTGAAAGGGTAAGCCTAGGCTGACGAAGCAACCAGAACATTAACTGCCAACTGGTGTGTTACGACACTTCATTTCTAAATGATGAAAGAATGGTTATTAACAAAAAAGATGCATTGTTTTTAAAAATCAGTTGTGACAGACCTGCCTGCTAAGATGGCATCGCCCTCACTGGTGGGTGTTAGCAAGAGTGCAGTGATAAAATACTTCCACCTAGCCCAAAAGAACAATAGTGTAAGCAAAAATGCTTAGACCCAATGCTACAGGAGAGTGCCTGCAAGGGTGGGAGAGAATTAAAATTGACAGTTCACCCATTTTCTTTGTCTTTACCCTATACCTTACTGCATGTATAAGTCCCACAAACTCACGTATACCATTACATCATGCAGAGCATTTGCAAATAGCCTTTTCCCTTCAAACCTCAACATACTTTATCAAGGAAACCACTGACCTGAGACAATGGCTTTTTCTTTCCACAGTTTATACCTCCAATGAAAACTATGTTGGGCATCACTGGCATAGGATATTCAAAAACAAAATCCATTCTTTTAAGCCAAATGGATCCATGGCTTAAGAGCTCCTTCATTGTTACTGGTCTGTGGAGAACATCTGAGGCCAGAAGTTCAAATGGCAAATAGGCAAAATTGCAAAGAAAAGATTCTGAAGACTTGAGAAATAAGTTTTCCACACGCTGGATGAAGGTCATGTGGTCCGAGTTGTCTGTAAATGTTCTTGGGATGTAGGAAGGGGGGTCTGGACACTGAGTAGCCTGCAAATCAAAACTGCAGGGGAGTCCCCGTAAAAAGAAAACAGACGGGATGGAGAGATGCAGAGCCAGTATTTGTCCACATGGTACAACAGGATCTGTGAGAACAGCATCAAATTTACTTCCTTCAAGATACTGCATCAGATCCTTATTGTGCAGTAAACTGGTACAGGAGGAGACATAGAGACTGGAGATGACTTGAACTTTTTCATAAAGAGCAGTAATTCTTTGAAGAAAAGGTCTTCTCTCGAAAAGATCGTTAGCAAATGAATGCATGCTTGCTTGCAGCTCTTCCCTAGTTAAAGGCACTGGATATGTTTTGAGACTGTAATATTCAGATGCCTTCACATTCAAGTTTACTTCTGGTGCAACAACAACAATTTCGTGCTCTTTCCAGCTGAGGGCTGCCAGCACTGAGCTCATGCTGAGCCAGTGACTCCCATCCATTGGCACCACCAACAGCTTTCCACCGTCAGCCAAGCAAAACAGAGACAGGAAAACCAAAACTCCTGCAGAAACTAAGTAACTGTATTTACTTACATGAGCCATGTTCCTAGAAATCCAGTCTGTCCATCTGCCCTAACAGATTTTAAGTAGACCGACAGCCCCCTGCCATTCCCCCTTAACGATCTGGCTTTTCCAGCAAAACCAGTCACGAGTAACCATTCAAGGCATTGATGAATCATTTAAGGAATGTGATAATGGAACACAGGTTGGGCAGAATCGAGCTTGGTATCTGAGGCTCCCTTGAATGGGTCCTTGGGATTGATTCCCTGTGCTGATTGATGTTAGATTTTTTTTTTCTAAAGCCTGATTTTATTTCCAAAATCCCAAGTTTTTGAATAGTGCTGGCACTTAGAAGTAACCGGGTTTGCTGAAAACAGGTGTCAAAATACTTTCTTGCTTTCCTTCGTTTCTTTCTTTTTCATATGCATTTTATAGCTGTTCCAAAATGCCTGTCAAGTTTATGTTTGAAATTATAGAATTATGGGGCTATACAGCACGATATCTATGCAAATTCTAAGGAAGAGGCTCTGTGATTTACACACAGCTCAGCACTGGAGCTAGTTAGATCACCAAGTACAAATTTATTGCAGTAAGTAACACCACAGCAGAGGCTTGCCTCATCAAAGGAAAACCGCTGAATCTGTGCTGTCATGCACAACACTTCTTTGTTCTCATCCTGACTTATGTCTCTGTGCCTCTCTTGATCATCTTCTTCCAGGAGCAATAGGAAGGAAAAGCCACTCAGTCCCCCTTATATCTAATTAAATACAGGAAAGCTTGGACAGAAGTAGCCAGTAAAAGCCCTCTTGTTTCAGGCCAGGAACTGATTTTAAATGGTAAGGGGTGGTGTTGTTACTCCAGATGAAAAACTAAAAGTAAATATACCACGTCCGAAGAGTTAACAAATACTTGAGATAAACTCGTCGGCCCGCAGGGTTATATTTTACCATTAGACATAACTGTGAGTCAGAGACATAGTTGGAAGAGCAGATGAAATGAGGACTGAAGAATCAGTACTTCTGCAGTAAATATCACTGCTGGACCATGACCTTTAGGCCCTAAGCATGATGAGAGTGAGAGTGAGCTTTGTCTTCAGAGTAAAGTCTGATTTTAACCTGGAGCTGCCACATGGCCTCGCCTGCAGGCTGGATGCAGCTTTCCCAGAGAATATGCCTGGGTTTGTCCACTGAGGAGCTATTTAGCAGCTCTGATGGACAGAACAGATAGGAAAAAACCCTACCCTGATAACATGTGAGGGGTTCACAGGCAACTTGAAAGAGGCTTTTGTGATACGAACACTAGCAGCTCAGCAGAAATAAACAGTACTTTCGGTGGGCAGGATCAGGTGAAGTACCCGGAGGAGCAAAGCAAAGCCTGAGGGCAGATAAGGTTGGCTTTTGGGAAAGATGTGCTAAGCTTGTAAAATGTAAATCTATTTTTTTGTGAAGTTTCACTCATTCATGTTCACAAAGGCCTGTGAATTTGGGGGTAGAGTGGTGATAGGCAGGAAGAATCCATTCCCTAAAACTTAGGGAAGGCTGGCAAGCGAAAAAAGTTCAAGGGAAAAATAGAGGGGTGATTATATTTAAGTAATGCTCACAAAGGATAAAACTTTATCCTTTTGAGGAAACAATGTGATTTATTGCTGAAACGGTGGGATGGCACAACTACAGATTCATCATTTGCTGAGGAGAGCTGTCTCCTCCTACCCCTCTTTCTCCTTAATCTTTGGCTTCACATGAGGCTGTTCTACTTACAGCAAGCAAGAATACACACCACGTGCAGCAACAGGCTAACGTACAGCACGACTGGCAATAAGCTAACATATGTCACATGCATGCCATTAGCAAGTACTTTTGAGATCACAGATGCCGAAGCAACCACCCATCGACATTCCCCTTCTCAAACTGGATGTCTCCTAAAAATGCAGTTGAGAATTCAGCTGTATTGGTTTTTTGTGATAGAAGCGATTGTTAAACTAAAATCCTTACCACAAAATATTAGCCTTTGACTCAAACACAAGACTGCTGCTACAGCAAAGAGCAAGTGATGCTATTGCACATAATGCAGTGAGTTACTTTTCTGACTGGGTAAGAAGGTATTGCTCTTGAAGAAATATTTTACTGCCTCTTATGTGGGGCACAGAATATTTGGAAGACCTGTTATAATTCATCTGCCCTTTTTGTACTAATTCCTGGGTAAGGTGGTATTTACGTACCTGATTTCAGCTGAAATTAAACACAACATAGCATGTGATCTGCTCACCAAACAAAATCCCCGTGTTGGGCAAACCCAGGGGAAAGAGATAGAACCACATCTTGTTCTGGTCCACTGTACCATTCTGTTTTTCATGTGGATTGGCTATACAGAAAACATTAATCTAAATCATCTCATTAGGTAAGAAACGTACGTTCAAACACACTCTCAGACCTCACCCAGATCATGCAGGCATATGACTGTCAGAACTTTCCCCCTATACCTTTCCCAGCCAGTCACTGACCTGACTTAATGGTTTCTTCTGTACGCAGTTTATGCCTCCAATGAAAATCAGGTTGGGCATTACAGGCATGGGATAGTCAAAGACAAAGTCAACCCTCTTCAGCCAAATGGATCCATGACTTAAAAGCTGTGTAATTGTCATCGGCTTTTGGAGAAAGTCTGAGGCCAGGCTTTCAAATGATGAAAAGACTATACTGCAGGTGAAAGACTCTGAAATGCTGATCAGGAAGTTCTTCACTCTCTGAGGAAATGTCATATGATCTGTATTGAGTGAGAACATTCGTGGGACGTAGGACAGTGGGTCCGGACTCTGGACAGCGTGAACGTCTACAGCGCATGGGAGACCCCGCAAGAAGAAAACCGTAGGGATAGAAAAGTGCAAAGCAATTATCTGTCCACAGGGTGTCAGAGGATCTGTAAAGATGGCATCAAATTTACTTTCTCTGATGTATTTCATCATCTCTTTGTTGTACAGTAAGGAACTGCAAGAAGCTTGAAACATGGCAGAGCTCTTTCTGAAATGATCCCAGGTATTCAAAAATCTGACCAGGAAGGGTTCTTCACTAAAAGAGTTTGCAGTAAATGAGTGCATCATTTCTTCCATCTCTTCCTTTTTGAAAGGTACAGGATACGTTTTCAATTCATACATCAGCGAGGAATCTATCAGCATTTTGATCTCTGGTGCAATAACAACTATTTCATGCCCTCTCTTGCCCAGCTCGGCCAGCACTTTCTTCATACTGAGCCAGTGGCTGCCCTCCATCGGGATCACCATCAGCTTCCCAGCAGCGGCAGGACTCAGGCAGCACAAGAAGGGGAGCAGCAGTGCCACCAGCATGTTGGACAGACAGAAACCCTTGCACCGGAGAGGCCAGGGGTGGTTCGCAAGCTTTTGTAGCTATGCTCCACCTATGCAAACATACCACTTGGCAAAGCTTTCTACGGGTACCTCTGCCCTTTTCACACGCCTCGCATTTCAGGTGTTCACAAGTTTGCACGCAAAGGAGTTACAGTAGGTGATTAATGATTATAAAACATTGCGATGAGGCTTGTAGTTCAAAAGCAGGTTTGTATGAGCAGGAGAAAGGTGTGTCTCCTGTCATACATTTCACTCACCCAAGCTGAGACTACAGCTCAATGCCTCAGTCTTCTTCCCATAGCAGGACCACAGCCTCATGACACCTCTTCCCAGCAGCAACCCAGCAACTTTAGCTGGCATTTACTGACAACGTGGTCTAAGGTACATGGGAATCCATAGAAGAAAAGCATGTACAGAGAGGATGGACAGAAACACTGCTGACCCCACATGGTAGCACTGGGTCTATAAAGAGCACACTAAAATGACTCTTTGCCATCTAGTGTTGGAGTTCTTTATGCCACTGAAGGCTGACAGAGTTGTCAGAGAATGTAGCAATTTGGTATTTTTTTAGTAAGTATTTTCTAATGAAGCTGAGGGAAGTTGTGCAGTGAAATATAACCTATAGTAAAGATAAATATGAGAAATCAGTGTTGAAATATCTGGGTATTGGGGTTTGCTTTTGTTTTTAATAACCAAACCCAGTTGGTACAACTGAGAAAAATGAATTATTTTTTTCACTGATGCAAACATGCATTTTTTTGAAGATTAGTAGCCAATAGAAAATCTGTCCCCATCTCTAAATATAGCTTCCATCTAACCTCTTCTCCTATCAGGTATAAAACTAAGTTGCAAAACAGCAGTTCACCGTTGTACCTCAGATAACATAAATCAACAGCACGTTTCTAATTCACAAACTCACAAGTTCATGGCCAATGCCAGTTCAGTTCATGACTGAAACAGTTCTGGGTCCAGATCCTTGTCAGTTGTAAATTGCTGGGTTTTTAAATGTCAGTGATAACCTTTCACAATAAAAGTTTATAAGTAGGTGACTGGGCAGGTGCCTTTAGGATACAATTTGCTCCTCCAAGGCATTCAGGGCTTTACATCACTAGTGGAGCTTTCTTTCACATGCAGTTTCTGCATGCTTCTTTTCAAGCCTGGTGGGAAAGCTTTGAGCTTATTGAGAACCTGCCTTCCAAAACCAGCAGCCAGCTCCATCATCCACACTGTCCCTCATATCAGTAGTTTACAACATAGGATTAACTTAATGGGAATTTTCAAACAGCTCAGGAGAAGGTGATGCACAGGAACAGACCTGTTGCTTATAACCTCTCAAAAGGCTGTCAAATGAACACTAAAAGAAGTGTTCAAGCTAGACCGATAGATGAAGACAGGCAGTCATGCATGTCTCATGTGGGGCATTTATAGACATCTTCTTGGGTCTTTAATATCTGATCAGCAATCTTTCCCACTCCTGACTCCATCTCTTTTTGAAAGACCCCTTGTGCGCAACTGTTACTCCTTTTCCTTCATTTTCCTTCATTTGAACACACATAACTAGTTAGTGTGAACCACTAGAGACTGTCCTGGTAAGAAGATTGGCTCTGCCACTTCTAACACAAGCACTAAACATACTTACCTGGGCAAAAGGGGAAGACATTAGGGCTTTCTTCTACACTACTCTGTTTCAGGGGTACTCACAATTTGCTATACTTGAATATCCCTTTCCTGCTTTCAATCAGGTATAGAATATGCTGTACTTGATTCAGAGATCTGGTTGGTACCCAAAAACCTGAATGGGATTTACAGAAGACATCCATGCCCAGAAAAGGCTAAAACCTAATTACATAACCTATAAAAGAAGGGGAGGATACAATTTTAAAAGGCTTTCTTTTGGGGCTTAGATATTGACACCTTGATATCACAGCAGAGATGTAAATTAATCGGTCAGGCAGATTGATGTGACAGAAAAAGAACCGATGAATAGTTAAAACCTTAAGTTCTACAACCCTCAGTGTGGATGAAAGGAGAATGAGTATATGGAAGTATGGACGGACAGTCCAGGAGACAGTTGGGAAGGGAGAACACCATGGGGCAGACAGACAGCAGACTGTGCTTATGGGTATTCCTCAGGCTACTCTTTCAGAGCAATACAGCCACATCCTCCAGGCCTGGCTGCATTTGCAGGCTTAGCTCTTATGGAGATGGACATGGCATAAGAAACTTAGATGATACAGAAGCTAACAAGTCTGGCTCCTCTTGGGGAGGCATGTTTGCAACTCAGCACAATTCAGATGAGATTCAGTTTGACAAAAGAGCTTAACATTTGCGTAAAAGTTACATGTCACTTGAATCCCCATATCTGATAAGGTCTTAGGTTTGCCAGGATACAATATGATCTGAATGCTGGATACTAGGAAATAACATTTCTGCATCATGCCGGATTTCTCATTAGCTTTCTACCTTTAAATACCAAGGTGTTTTCAGTTAGGTTTTGATGTCAAGATACTGAAACATTTATGTTCTTGCCTATTCAATAAAACCAAAATTTTTTACCTGAGACAGTTTTTTCTTCTGACCACAGTTTATCCCTCCAATAAAAACCATGTTTGGCATCACAGGTCTCGGGAACTCAAACACAAAATCGTATCTCATTAGCCAAACAGATCCACGGCTTAGAAGGTCTGTAGCTGTCACTTTCTTTTGAAAAATCTCGTATGCAAGGTCTTCAAATTGAGCGAATACAGGCTTACAGTAAACGAACTCCAGCATATGGACCAGCATGTTCTTCACACGTTGAGCAAATGTCATGCTATCTGAATTATTTAGGAAGAGTCTGGGGACATAGGAAGGAGGGTTGGGACACTGAGTAGCTTCAAAATCCATACCACAGGGAAATCCCCGCAAAAAGTAGACGGAAGGAACTGAAAGATACTCAGCAATTATCGGTCCGCACATCAGAATTGGATCGGTGAAAACCAGATCAAATTTGCTCTCTCTCAAATACTGCATCATGTCTTTGTTGTGCAAAAGGCTCTTACAGCTGGTGAAAAAGAACCTGGTAATTTCTAGCATGCTTTGATACATTGTAATAATAGTATTCAAAACAGATTGTTCAATAAAATGAGCATTAACAAATGACTTGAGCACAACACCTAAATGTTCCTCTGCGTAAGGCATTGGATATACTTTCACTGTGTAAGTCTGAGAGTCCTTTGGCTTCATATGCAAACTTGTTGATGGTACAACCACAACAACTTCATGTCCATTTTGCTGGAGTTTCCCCACTACCGGGCGCATGCTGAGCCAGTGACTTCCATCCTGAGGTATCACCAGGATCTTTCCGCCTTCAGCAAAGATTAAAGATGATGTCAGAAGAAGAAATATCCCAGCACACTGGTAAAAACTCTGAAACGGAAGAGCCATTTCTGTGGAAGTAAAACAGAGGGTTCTTCTCTGGAGGCATCCGACACAGTCCTTTATATGAAGGTCCATGTAAGCTTTAACTTTTCTGCAGGGAAGTTATTGACTGCAGAAATAAATATTTAACTTCCTAATTCTGCTGTGTTTATCCTTCAGTATTGCAACTGCTCATATAACAGGGAAGAGGAGCACATTGTTCTTGAAAATTATGTTCCCCTTTGTACCTTTTGTTAATTTTTAATCTTGGAAGTATGTCCACACCTTCCTTCCTTCATGAAACTAAGAAGACCAGGGATGTCATCTTGTAATAATAATTGTGGTTAATACCATTAATTTGGTAAGTACCCAGTGAGAAAATAAGCCTGATTTTGCTTTAAAAAGGCTACATTTAAAACACACCCAGCAGAATGAATGGAAATTGCAACACCATTTCATTTATGGACTAGTCTAACTGAGAACACCTAACCAGTATGTAGACAGTTGATGTTAAATTCCCACATCCTGGAAGCTGTCAAACCTGCATGTCCTATGAATATATCACAACTACCAGGATGTACCATGCAATTCCAGAACTGAGGAGAAAAACAATCTTGTTTGGCATTTGTTCCCATGGTACTAGACCAAAAAAAAAAAACCCTAAATGATGGGTTCAGGGCAAGTGAAGGGAAAGGAGGCTGGCATAGACCTTTTGGGACAGAAAGAAGGAGCCTTGATCTTTGGTCAACATCCTGAAAATACACAGAAACAGCTGAGGTCAGACCTAAGTGGGCTAATTATTATTCAGAAAATTAACAGACTGGCTCATTTTTCAAAATAACATGGTAGGTTTACACGTGTTTGTTGTTCATTATCCAGTAGCAAAGGGCACCTAGACCCCTTTCAGGTTTGAAGGGTGTGGTGCTCCTTACCAACTCCTGTTGTATGTGCAGATGAGTACCTAGAGTAGTTGAGGAACAGAGGCCTCAAAGAGTAAGAACCATGTGCCAGTTCGTGGCATCTGGGAAGAAAGGCTTTCCTACTGGATACTTAAGGTCAGACGTTTAATGTTAAACAAAGCTGAAGCTTGGGTGACCTGAGACTGCAGATTTATTTTCCTTCCACGAGTATCTCTCACCATAAGGCTTGTGTGGGTTACTCCAGGGTGTCTCTGAGCTGGCAAGGAGCATTGCCATGATGGAGCAGCGCTGCACAGGCGTGCAAGCAGCTCTGAGCTGAGATTGCTTAGATCTTGAGCCATAACCATGTTGAGGGGTTTGGGTGCAGGTGTGCTTACCCCTCACCCTATGATTGCTTCAGTCAGAAAAGGTACTAAGACTCTCTCAAACTACTTATCTCTGAGGTGGACTGGTGGTGATGTGTGGATTTCTTCTAACTTGAGCAGCAAACACTGAGTGCCACTAAGGGAAGAGGATGGCAAATGGACACCTTACCAGATACTTGTTATATGATCAGCACTAAAACTAGAACTAAACACAAGTGTTTGTTGAGGCAGCCTGGAAGTGTTGGCTTCATCTCCTGGATTTCCTGTTGGTAAATGAAATTGCCCACCCTTATGTTCCGGGTCTTGCAAGCAGGATAAGGTTGCTGAAATGCACTAGTAAGGGAAGAGGATGGCAAATGGACACCTTACCAGATACTTGTTATATGATCAGCACTAAAACTAGAACTAAACACAAGTGTTTGTTGAGGCAGCCTGGAAGTGTTGGCTTCATCTCCTGGATTTCCTGTTGGTAAATGAAATTGCCCACCCTTATGTTCCGGGTCTTGCAAGCAGGATAAGGTTGCTGAAATGCACTAGAATCATAGAAGGCACTTACACTAGTAAGGATGTAACTTGCTGGATGGTTTTGGATGATTAATCAGGCGTATACATGGAGGAATCCTTGTGTAATTGAACCCACTCTTTTTTTTTTTTTTTTTGTTTTTACACTAAACAGTGTCAGGCAAAAGGATTACAGTAAAATACAGGTTGGTAGCTGCTGACACGAACCAGCCAGATTCCTCCCTTATATTTTACATTGCTATGGAGATATCCTGGCATTCACCTGCACAGATAATACAGTATGTAGTGTGTCTGGCTGACTTCAGAGGAAAAACAGCCCATAGAACTGATATTGCTGCAGGCCAGACGTTCTTTGTGTGTTAGGTTGACAAGCCAAAGTGTCAAAGGTTAATTCTTAGAATAATATAGCAGTTGAGATGTTTTTCTGTGTGTTAAGCTGTTTTGACAATGCTCTGTTTTTCACTAGGTTTTTCTGTGCACATTCCTAATTTAGTAAGAAAACTCAAGGTTTGGAAGTTTGATGATAGCAAGAGATGGGCCTTCTTGCAGGAGGGTACATGCTCTGTACTTGTAAACTGAGAATTGTTTTGGTAAATCAGCAGATGTTCAAAAATCTTGTCCTTTTTGCAAACTTTGCTCATTAAAAGCTCATTATAATACTAAAAATCATGCCCATAGGTCAAAAAGACCATGGCCCAGGTGAAGACCCTTCCCCTGAGCATGCATTAATAGTGGAAGTAATGTGTCAGCAGTAGTATGTAAAACACTAATCAATCATGGTAAAGGGAGTGGACTGGGAAAACTACTAACCCTGAAAGTTTTTTGTATAAATATAGCAAAAAGAATGCTGGTTAGTGTGCATGCTGGGAGGAGATATCCCCCATGCACCCAGTGCTGCAATAAACCAAGTAAATGAGTGTGTGTGATCCTGAAATTAATGACTCTATCCTAACAGAAAGACAGGTGACATTTAAGGCTGCCTAGGTAACAGGAATTGGAATATTTCCTAACTTTTGTAAGGCAATGTGTTTGATACTTGTGAACTTAATGCTCTTATAGCCTTTCCAGATTTTTGTGCAAAGACCTCTGTCAAATACTATACCCTTAGGCTCACGTTACAGAAGGTATTTTAATTTAATCAGAAGACAAACTTCCCACAGAAAGGGAAAATAAGGCAGTAGTTCTATTTGATATGAGGGGATTTTGGTCAAAAGAACTGTGTTTTACAGCTTCCTTCAACATCTCTTCTTCAAAACATGGGAGGCACAGAGCTGTAGACAAGAGCAAACTGAGGAGGACAGTGAGATGAAATATTTGGTTAGAGGAGCTGTTTCAGGTTGATACATACTGTGCATTGAAGATGTACAATGCATTATGGTTAAACTCACCTTTTTCAAAATTAGCGCTGCTTTTATGTGCCTGATGTACATTTTGCCATTGCAATATAAGGCAGATGAACAGTATTGTCAGCTTTAAAGGTGTTCAACGTCCTTTACAAAAGCATAATAAACAGATGCTGACATGATACCAAGCTGCTCTGAACTGTCAGTATGTTTGTCAATACCGTGAATATTGCACAAAAAAAGTGACCCTAGTATTCGGTTCATCAACAGTGATGACTACTGCTTCAGTGCTGAAAATGAAGTTCCCCTATAGCTGTACTTAGCTACACATGTTAGCAAGTTAACAGTACACGCACATGTAACCGGATCCCTTCTGAGATCACACAAAGTGACATTTGTGTTGTGCAGGCTTTTGAAAAGTGTGTCTTTGTACCAGGTATGTGTGCACCCTTTGGTGCTGCTTAGTGTCGTCTCTGGCTTCTTGCCAAAGTCTTTGAATTCCACTATAATTACATATTTCAAAGGGCCAGTTAGAAATGTCTCCTTCTCAGAGCTTCCCAGATGCTGCTGGCTCTGGCAGAAGGGTTTCAGAACAGGACCTGTTTTCTTAATCCTTGTGCTAGAGGGACAAACCACTGGGTCTTTATTCAGTTATACTTCTTAATGACCTACTTAAATGCAACTTAAATTTTAATGTTTCAAGCTAACCAGTTGTTTAAATAAGTAATGGGTGGTTTGGTTAAAAAAAACCAAAACAAAACAACAAAAAAAACCACCCAGGAACAACTTTGAAAGGTTACATATCTGGACTTTGCTTTGATCAAATCATATGAACTTTGTTTTTATGAGCTGCCCAAAAAGGCAACTTTGCATTAACCTTGGCTCAAGATGAGTTATTCATCAAAGTGTCTCAGGGCTCACAGTCCAGGTTCGTTTGCAATGTTCCCCTAATGAGGGACCACTTACTGTGCCAGCCACCATGTCCTGCCAAAGTTGTCAGAGGATGAGCTGGCTCAGGACCTCTGCTCAGCTGAGATACTGGGTCTGATTTCCTCTGAGCCTTGGATTAAACTTCCAGACACATTGGGACGTGGCAACTGGATTTATGTGTCTGTCAATGAATATGTAATTGTTGCTGAGACAGATGCCTATGCAAAGTGGGGACAAGAGAAAACCCAGCCTGAGGCAGCCCTGGTGGTTTTTTTAGTCAATGAATAAATGCAGGTTGTGTTCCCCCAGGCTCAGTGCTGTGGTCTCGGGTTCTCCCACTCCCCCTGAGACCTCAGACTGTGAATGATGCTTAGGGCTCAGAAAGATCAGGGAAATTGGGATTTAATTCCCAGCTCTGTGCTGGATAAGACACACATGCCCAGTTCTGCAAAAGAACGAGCTCTTTAGCACCCTGATGCCTTTCAGCTCCAGAGCAGGTACTCCATGGGACCATGTCAGATACGGCAGGAAGGAGCCACCTTCTGGAATGAGGCCACAATGCCTGATTTTTCTGCCTGTGGAAAACTATGGAAAGTGGTGTGTGTAACAGAAAGGTTTGTGGCTTAAGTTATCTGAGAATAGAAATCTCATTTTGAATCTCTTGTTCTCGCTCCCTTTCCAGGTAATCCTAATTTTTTGCTTTGTTGGCTGTTGAGCGATGGGCTACCAGGTTTCAGAACTATCTACTCTTATCATATGATTATATATCTGAACAGTAATGATCAACCCAGGGCTTTCCACTGTGTATGGATAGGTAGATTTTTTTCTCCCATATGACTCACTTCACGTTTATTTACACTCTCCTGCATTATCGCCTTGTTTCTGGTTGCTGTTCAGAGTGAAATAGGAGAAATTCCTCTGCTGATTGTGGAAAATGTAGGTAGAAATGGCAAAGAGAAGATAGGAGGAATGCACAAGGATTTTGCAGGTTTGGAACATGTGATTTCCACAAAATTACAAATGTCAGTGTGAAGATGGGAGAGGCCAGGTAGAAAATGAGTGCAGGATGTCACTACCCTTGTAGCAAGCTCACAAACTGTTTGCAGGTCTGAGACCTCCGAGATATAGAAGACTTATGTCATGCAACCAGTAAGAATTTGCCTCTTCAGTCTCAAACTGGGAAGTGCCACTCTCTTGAGCCTAATGTGAGACAATGCCTTATTTATATTATTATTCTAATATTCTGACTTATAATATTATTCTTTATTTGCCTGATTCTTTAACTTTAGTGGGTTCTGCATAAGCCTGTCAGAGTATAAAAGAAATCTGAAAGAAGAAAAACCTTCAGCTCAAATATATTGTACTGCAATTGTGCAGTGATATTGTGGGACCACAATTCAGAAGTGAAGGAGTAATTGCATAGGAAAGAGATTTGTGTCCTGTTTTGTGCCTGGAAAGAAATGTCTAGTGCTATTAATTGTTTCAATGACTGTATGGTAATGAACAAAATCCATTTAAACTTCTAGATTAGCTTAAAAACCCCTGAAGAGCAATTCTGGTAAAAGCAAATGTCAAGAAATAGATATGAAAACTTATCTGAGTTTTGCGTACAAGTATCTTTCACTAAATACACTAGTTTAGATTCATTCTTCCCATTTCAACATGACATTTATGTTTCACCATGATCTACAAACAGAAATAACGTAGACAGCCAGTTTGGAAACCATATGTCATGAAAACACAACCAAAGCAAATGAACTGACTTTGTTGAGCCTAGAGTAAAAAAGCCAAAAAAATCCCCATCAAAATAACAAAACCAAAAGATAACTTGGTTTTTGGCCAAGTGAAAGAAATGTATGTCAGATCCCATGAAAATGAAATCAAAACTGCGACTTGTTGGTGAATAATATACATTCACTGAGGACAGTGATTTGTAGCTGGCAGATGAAGTCCATTTTTTGTTAAGTTTGTCAGAAAATCCTTATCAATTCAAATAAGTCATCTGCCTCCATCAAGGTAATTTCAGCCTGTGGAAAACAACTGCCAAAACCTGGTTGTATGAAACTGTTACCAGAAATAATAATAAAAAAAAAAATTAATAGCGCTAAACTTCCAGAAGTGATGTAATTGTATTTCATCGGAAAATATATAATTTGGAGAAAAAAGAACATACCTTAGACAATGGTTTCCTCTGAGCACAGTTTATACCTCCAATAAAGATCATGTTGGGCATCACTGGTCTGACGAACTCAAACACAAAGTCAAATCTCAGAAGCCAAATGGAAGCCGAATTCAGGAGTTCTAACAGGGATACATCTCTCTGAAGAACTTCAGAGGAAAACTTTATCGCATCTCCATAGAAACCGTTGCAGTACACAAGCTCCAGGAGGGAAACCAGTGCATTTTCCACCCTCTGGAAAAAAGTCATGTGGTCTAAGTTGAAGGTAAAAAGCCTCGGGGTGTAGGACAGAGGGCTTGGGCACTGTGGTGCTTCATAGTGTAAGTTGCAAGGAAATCCTCTCATGAAGAACACAAATGGAAGAGAAAAATAATGAGCAAGTGTTGCTCCGCACATAAAAATGGGGTCTGTTAGGACAGCATCGAAGTTGCTTTGATTCAAGTACTGCAGGGTCTCCTTGTTGCTGAACAGGTTCTTGCACTGAACAAAGAGCACATTGAAAACGTGCACTGAGCTGTTGTACAGCGCTAGAACATTCAGTGGGAAAGGCAGGTCCTTCAGGTGGGTGGCAACGTATTCATGAAAGGCATTATCCAGCTCTTCTAGCGTGTAAGAGACAGGGTACGTTTTCACCGTGTATGCCTGTGCTGTTCCCATCCGCCAGCTTACTTCTGGTATAAGCACCACCACTTCATGTCCTCTCTCGGTGAGCTTTTCAACCACTGGCCTCATGCTAAGCCAGTGGCTTCCATCCATGGGCATCACCAGGAGTTTGCCTCCATCTGAGAGGCCAGGAAGGAGGAGGATAAAAATCCAGGCACAGCAAAGGAGCAGAGCCATGTTCCAGAGGTCAGAGTATGCTGTGAAAGTCGTCTCCTTCAGGCAGTAGCTTGAAGATGCTTTTGAAGGAAGCCGATCTGTTTATCTGTTCAGTTGTGCTGCTTTGTCATAATCTTCTAGTTAATAATTCACTGCTTTGGGTTGTGGGTTTGCGTGTGTTATTTTTTCTCATTACTTGTAAAGTCAAATGCGGTGACCGTTTCCTGTGCTGAGTTTTTAGAGTTCCTCAGTGTTTGACATGCCAGTCAGATTTCACAGGGCTTCTCTCTAGATTATTGATGTGTCCTGTCTTATCCCTTGGCCAGGGAAGGCCCTTAAAAATGATCACTGGGAAGATGACCAGTTTAGTAAACAGCATTTCTTTCACAAAAAACTTGATTTATTTATTTTCTAATGGCACCCCCTATTTGCTGAAGAGCTCAAGCAGAGAGCTGGTAGGGAAACATCCTGCCCTCGCCACCCTTCTGCAGCAGGACAAATTTGCCATCCAAACCTCACAGCACCCTTACGGTGAAGAGAGTGGGTGCAAAGGCAAGCGCAAGACAGGTGAAGTTAATCAGTACCTTAGAGGCATTTCTGACCCTTTGAGAGTTTGTCAGCGACAAACTCAGTTGGCTTGGTTATCTGGCAGGGGTTTCTTGATGAGTTAAACTTTTCTGGGTTCAAAGGAATGAGAGATAAGACCTGCTTATCTCTCACTCACACAAGAAGACAGTGGGAATTTTGAATTTAGGTAGGAAGCTGCATAGCTGGGGAATGCCAGGGGAGGAATGGACAACCTCAAGGGAGTGGGGTTGTGCTGGGAGGCTGTAATGGGAAGGAGGGATATTGTGGAAGCATGGCCACTACCTGTGGCGTTGCTGGCATGATGTGCACGGTCACAGCAGACCACAGCGAGC